CTGAAGGGTTTACAAAACAGGAGCTAACAGGAAGCTGATACCTTTTATGTCCTTCTTTCACAAATAACATTTGGAGAGTTCTGTAATCGAAACGTTGTGCCAAATGTTTCCTGGAATGATCAAACCAAACCCCAGAAGACCTTGAATCTTGTACGACCTCCTTTTCGATCGGTGAAATTTGCGGCATATAAGGTGATGATCAGATGACGTAGTTTTTTCCAGTCTGTGGAATGTTTTTATTACTTCATAATTGTGGATATGGCGAAGTCTGGTTCCAGTATTTTATGTGGGGTTTTTTTAAATCAGTTGTTTCAGTGGGAGAATTGAAGATACCAGAATCGTGACTTACATCTGGCAGTGAAGGCAGACATGGGTTTGAATTATGAATGTTTTATTAATCTGTGTTTTAAATCTCATTTTAGTTACTTAGTATGCAGGGCAGCGATGAAGCTCTTAGTTTCTGAGCCACAAACTTTGGAATTGTAGCCTTCCCTGCCTCTTTGCTGAGTACGTTTCACTTGTAAATAATTAAATAAGTTTACTGCTATAAATTGCCTTTCTTCAGGAATAGTTTCTTGTGAACCACACAAAAATGAGTGAACAGCAAATACAAGTTTATGGTAGACTTTGTAAAAGAGGATCTTTTGGCTCCAAGCTGGATGCCTCAGTACCTGCGGCTGGGTCCCTGCCTTCCACGGTGACAGGGTCTGCTGCCCCGGCGCTGGGGGGTTCCTTGGGCCCCCCGTCCCGGGCTGCGGCTCCTTCGGCAGTGCCCAAACGCACAGCACCGCCGGGGCAGTCCTGGTAGATTCCAGTGTGGTGTGAACTACTCCCGCTGGAAGGTTGTTGGTGGTGAATTGTATAGACTGAAGCAATTCCTTAGCGTGGAGATGTAGATGTTCAGCTGAAAGCCAGGTCTTTCCCCATCTCCAACCCCATCGTCTTGGGGTTAGCGGAGTGTTATTCCTTACCTTAAACATACTGACTTTGCTGGAGCGGAGTAAGTGACTATCTAAAAGCTGGGGGGTTTAAAGGTGCAGCACAGGAAATTATATATTTTTTTTTTATAGCTGACCATTAGTATCTGTTCTGCTTGCACCATTGTGGATTTTGATTTGGAGTTATCTCTGAGTTTACGAAGTAAAAGATCCTTGAAAGGATATTAAAACTGGTCTTCAGCCTAATTCTTCAGAAGTGATTTTATTTGCTCTTGTTGTTGGTTAACGAGCAGCCTAGGTTTATGATGTTGACGAAGGGGAGAAGTCTGAAGTAGGAAATATTACTTTAATGCTTTAAATGAGCAAACTGCATTATGTGGCTTTGGCTGTTTCCTAGCACTGAGACATCACCTTGAATGCAAATTTGCCGATTAAAATATGAGCTGGGCTTTTTCTTCTAGAAGTACATTGGCATAAAAGAGCAATGAGCAGATTGTAGAAGAGACGGTTGCTCTTGGCTTTGTTTGTAAAACGGTTCTAAGGAGATATATTCTAATTGTTGGATTTGTGACTTTCTTGAAGAAAATCTGCAGTTCTTTCTGGTTTGTTTCAGTTAAGTGTGTGGTATGCTTAGTGGGGGAGCTCATCCTTTGGGATATTTCCTTATCTTCCCTTCTCTCCCCATTCCATTTTGCTAAATTTTCTGTCTCCGTATTGGGATGACCTTCCTCGTTTTGTTTTGGCAAAGTACCCCTGGATGTGGATTTCTCTCATACTTGAAGCTGAAGGAGCAAAGTATACTCAGTACTTAACCCAGTAAATACACGGGTGACTTGTGGAGATTGGCTCTTGAAATTCGTGTGTTGGAATTCAGTGTTTTCGCAACTTACTGACTGCTGAGCACCGCATCCCTTTGGATGAGAGGGAGAAGGGGCAGAGAGCTGGTGGGAGGGTGGGCTTGTGCTCTTCCCCTTAACCTCGGCAGGCCTTCTCCGGCCTTTCCTGCTGGAGCTCCTGGTTGGTGACTCCTGGGACACCGAGTCCCGCTCTCGGAGGGAGGGTTGTCCTCAGTGTAGTCACTGGCACTGCAGGAAAAAAGTTTTTTCTTTTTCCTTCTCTCCTCCACCTTCTTCTGCTTTCGGCATTTTTGTGCTCGGAGGCAAGTTTAGGATTGAATGACTCGAGGGTAAATTAAATTTGGTTCATGAGCTAGTTTCCGAAATAAGTCAGTTTTAAAGTGCAAAGTGAAATAACTCTGGAGAAAATTGTTTATTGTAGGCATAGGTTTGGCTTGCTTTGCTTCAAGGAAATTGCTTGAGGATGTGTGTGGTTTTTTTTCTGTTTGGTTGGTTGTTTTTTTGGTTGTTGGTTTGTTGGTTCCCCCCCCCCCCGGCGTAGCTCCCGTCAAAGTGAATGGGGATGTGCGCCAACAGATGAGAACCTAACCCACCCGACACCAAGTGAGCAAAGAGCCTTCGAAGTACAACAGGGTCACCTCATTGCCAACGAGGATTTTGCAGGAGAAGCCACAAGCAGAGCCAGCCTATGGTTTAGGTTACCTAAACAAGCCGTAAGAGTGAATTTATGCAGTTTGAAATGCAGTAGGTTATTTCACTTTCAGTTTATCCCAACCTGGAAATTAAGGGATGTATTAAAGGAGTAAGGTGCAATACAGAATAGCAAATAAAAGCTTGTGTCTTCGTTTCCTTTGCAGGATCTGCCTTTAACTCTGTTTTTCAGGAGAGCTTTAGGTCTGGTGGGGTTTAAATGTAATTCATAGGTGATGTATTAGTTTTACTGTAGCCTGCAGAAGTGATGAACAGCTCAATGGGAAGGTATATAATATGGTGGCCAGCACTTCAGTGCTTAAAATGACTGTTAAAACAGTTGACTTTTAATCTGAAAAGTTAGTTGAAGTAGGTAGTCGCTCTGTGATGAAATATCGGGACAGCAGTGTGAACACTGCTTCTTTTTATTTAGAATACTTGCGTGGATTTATTTTTGTGCATCTTTTAATAACGATTTGAGTACATTGTATCTTGACTTCTTCTTGGTAACATCCATTTTTTTTCCCCCATGATTTTTTTTCTAAACATGAAACAAGATTTTGCTGTTGGCTTTAGAAACGCAAGGATTCTTATACCAGTGTCTCAAAAATCTGAGTAGCAGGCTTTTTCCAGGCAGAGTTGCAGGTTTGGTACTTTTAGGTGGATATGTGAACTCCATTGAAAATCGTTTGTGGGTGGATATGGAGTCAGGCTTGTTGATGGAATTTGGGTCATCAGCCAGAAAACAAAGCCGGAATGGAGGGTCAGGAGTCTCCGGAAGAGGGGTCGTGGGTCTGGAAGTGGGACCAGAAGTGTGGTCATACGATGGGAAGTGTATCATGGGCCAAAAAAAAAAAGCCTGGAAGTTAGGTCAATATCAGAAGTCACTCAGAGACAACTGTAAAACTACTAAGGTAGAAGTAATAGGGCTGTAGCTCTTAACCAAGAAATCAATCTTAAGAAATTTAAAGAGAAGATAATTTGTACTGGAAGTGTCCTTTATTGAGGCTTCCATCTACATTCATGGCAAGTACCAAGTAAACAATTGCTTGGAGAGCCACGCTTAATTTCAGCATGCGTGTCCTTCTGAGTAGCAGTTGAGGAATTGCTGATTTATCTGTCGGTGGTCATCCAAGGAGATTTTGAGGAGTACTACAGGATTCGATTCTCTTGTTGTCTGAGGTATTCACGTAGAAAAAATAATCCTTTGGGGATGAAAAAGTGAAATTGCTTGTTTTCTTTGCTGCTTAGCAATACCTTTTCAATATGTCTGAGTAGAAATTCAAACTAGAGTTTGCACTGGTGTTTATTTTGGGTACCGCATAGTTTCCAAGGTGTCTTTAAAGAGACTGGATCCTCTCCTCTGCCCCATGGAAGAGTTTCTGCCCAAGTGTGCTGCTGGATGTGGGGAGGTGTCCACAGGCAAGGAGAGTAGGAGAAGCACAATGACGTTGGTCTGTGGATCAGAGGATAGCCTTTTGCTATAAATACACACTATTTTTCCTGTTAAATCACTGACGCTGAGAGTGGTCTTTGCATGAGCTATTTTTAAGAGATAATGTATCCGCTAAGGATGTCGTTATGTATTGCAAGAGTTTTAATATAAACTGTTTACATATTGATCTTGTTGTAAATTAAGCTGTTTCTTCCTTATCTTCAACAGGCAGCCAGATAAACTAGTGGTGGTTTGGACAAGAAGAAGCCGAAGAAAATCCTCTAAGGTTAGTTGATTGCTTAATAAGTCCTGACTCCAGTGACAAGAAGGGTCAGTTGTTTGAGGGACTCGTTTCTTGAGTGTGGGGAGCAGCTAAATGAATGAGAAGTATTTTAATAGTTTTCTTTTTAACTCGTTTTAGCTGTAAAATTCCGAATAAGCTGCAGTTGATGTCAACACTGATTTATGGAAACACTTAACTCTGATTTTAGCTTCGGTTATTTGTTTAGCAGAACTGTATCATCATCAGTTCAATTTCAGTTATTAATTGCTAGACCTAATTAGAAAGGAGCATCTGTTTCGCTACTAGAAGTGTATTAAACGTAATAATAAAAGTAATAAAGAATCTGACATCACTGCAATAGGGAGAGAAAGTCTGAGTAAGAGGCTGTTTCACAACTAGGAAATACTACAATTCAAAAAGAATAAATGCAGGCTCTTTCAACCAGTAGTGTATATTTGAATTAAATTTTAATGTTTTACTTCCACAAACACTATGAGGGAGCATGTGAATTTGTGTTTTATGGCTGACGACTTGGTAGCCTGAGGAAAGGGAAGCTCCAAGTGAAGTCTGCCCAGTATTTGGACATTCATAAAGTTTGTCTTGCATGCGGTTGTGTTTTTTTTGAATGTGCAGAAGTTTGCAAGCAGAGTAGCCCCCTCTTCTGTGAACTTCACCTTTTCTTCCTGCAGTGAGAAGTCTGAAAGCCTTATGAGATTCCTGTCTCTTTCTTAAATGGTGCTCAGTTTGTCTAGACTGCTGGATGTTACTGCTCTGACAGTAAGATGCAGTTAGCCTCTATGGAGCCTCCTTTGGGTCTGGGGCAAAGGGAGAGGCGAGACAGTCTGGGTGTGTGGCTTGGTTTCCATGGAAAATGAAGCTTAATAAAACCCACAACACTCTCCGTTGACACTGAGCTTGAAACAAATGGCAAGCATTTCTAAACCTCTGCAGTGTCTAATATGACAATGTCTTGTATGGTGTTGTGTTCTTGACCAGTAAGAGTAAGATCTGTCATCAGTCCTAGCAGTCGGTTGTAGCTGCCCAGGGAGATGGGGAGCCCATTTCACGCATGCAGCAGGCAAGCGATGGCCTTTGAATGCTGGTCATATTGCAGGTGTTCTTTTGCTGCCTTGTGTCCTCTGGTGTAGGGCAGTCCTTCATCTGTCCAAAAACTGCAGAAGAGTGACATGAATGAGCTGGGGAAAAGAAAGATCCTAATCGCTGGGCAGGTTTGCAGGGGCAAGGAGGACGTGCTGGTTTCCTCCCTTCCCAGAGCATCTCCTCTTCGAGGTGACTCAGCCGCACGTGCTCGTTCCCTCTCCCCTCGGCTGCTGCCTCTTACCCTGGTCGGGCTTACGGCAAGTGCTCTTGTCCAGAGGGGAAATTTTGGAACTCAGCCTTTTAATAATTTACCACGTCAGTTAAATGGAGATGGTGTGAGCTCCTTTTTTTGGTGTATGCATGTAACTTGAAATCATACTTCCAAGAACACTGGGATGGTGGAGAGAGGGCACCCATGATAGAGAAGATATCTTGACTTAATTATATGTTGAAGAACTTAAATGTTTAGAAAATGTGATATACAGATTCCTACCCTACTCAGGAGAGACTTTTGAGCTTTTTTACTGGTACTTCTCTTTTTCTGACTTCTTTTTCTGATTTTCATGCGTATTTGCTGTATTTTGTCTTTTAACTGGAGGTCTAAGCTATTCTAAACTCTTTTGTCTAAAGACTGGTTACTGACTGAAAGTGACTACACAACCGAATGCCTACTCCAGTGTGTGCATCCTAAATTCTGCTTTAGGGTATGCAGACCCAAAGGTGTTACCTGGTGAGTAAACAAGGGTGTGAACTTAGTCTGCCAGCTTTTCCAAGACAACTGCTCCTATTCCCTGTTTGCGCTCTTCAGCAAGGCCAGTCAGACTGTTTCTCTTTCATTGACAGATAAACTAACCCCAGTTACCTCGACTGTATAGCAGGGTGTATATCTAGCCAGTAACTGCTGATGTATGGTGTCTGTTGTGGGTTGCCCTATGATAACTTTTCTATTTTAATTTCATTTAATTTCTGTAGAACAGAGAGAGAAAAGATAATAATAGAACAGTAAATTCATACTTACGCAAGCATTGTAAAAAGCTTGGGGAAAAGCAAGGTACTTGTCCATGAATGACTGCTTTTGAGATTCAGAGTATGTTCAGAAAGAGAAGCCCTTACGAGAGTCCAGTAGGGCTTTGTGAAGTGATGGGTTTCTGCTTGTGGTGTTACGGCATGATGCCATGGGCTCCAATGGCAACATTTCTCTGAGGCAAGAGGATTTTCTGACACTCACTCAGCTTTTTGGGCTTGAAGTTTTTTCAACTGGGCCATAAAGTTCGAGAATAGTGACCTCTCTTTTGGTTGCCAGGCAGTAGAAGGAATCTTGGATAAACTGGCAGATTTACCTGAGACTCAGAAAAGTCTTTTGCTAACTAATTAATTCATACTAAGGTCCCACAAAGGTACTTTGAAAGGGGCTGAGTGGCCCTGAGGCCTGGGCAGAGGGCAGACTTAATCTTAAAGCGTAGGTAGCTGATATGATTTGAGCTGTTCGGCTTCAAGAGTGTAGATCAATAAATGTTCTTGATCTTAGTCATCCTGCCAGTAAAATACTTTATTCAACATATTTGTTTCATCTAATTACTTTCCTGGAAGCAAGTCAAATGGATATTTCCTCTTACTTTATTTTTGATGGACACTGAGCTCAGTGAGTACAAAGCATTACTAATTTTGTATATTGTTCAGCTTCTTTGAGAAGGAGGAGGAGAGGGATGAGGTCTTACCTTGCTGTAAAGATGTTGTAAAAACTTCTTTGGAGGTTATGATTTCTTTTCTGAACTTTTCAGATCGTTAGGGATAAGGAGGGATATCCCTGTGTTAGTTTGCAGACTCACAGAATGGTTGAGGTTGGAAGAGACGTCTGGGGTCCATCTGGTCCAACCCCTCTGCTTAAGCAGGACCACCTAAAGATGGTTGCCCAGGATCATGTCCAGAGGGCTTTGGAGTGTCTCCAAGGATGGAGAGACCACAACCTCCCTGGGCAACCTGTGCCGGTGCTCAGTCACCCTCATGGTGAAAAAGTGTTTCCTGATGTTCGGAGGGAACCTCCTGTTTCACTTTGTGCCTGTTGCCTCTGGTCTTGTCACTGGGCACGGAGATGAGCCTGGCTCTGTCTGCTTTGCACCCTCCCTTCCAGCTATTTATCGACATTGATAAGATCCTTCCGAGCCTTCTCTTCTCCAGGCTTCTCTTCTCCAGCCCTTCATTGGGCTCTCTACAGTATGTCCGTGTCTCTCTTGTGCTGGGAAAGTACAAGAGATACGTCGTCAAAAAACATGGTGCAGCTTGGAGGGCGGTACGATGGTGCTGTGGATGTATACCGAAACTGGTGTGTTTAGCTGATGTAATATGAAGATACCATTGAGCTGAAAGCCGAGTTCTTGGCATCCTTTGAAGCCCTTATTTTTGTGGTTTTCTGTGATTTTGGTAGGCCTTCTGGCCCATGCGCTTTCTACTAGAGTGGTCCCTCAATTAGAAGAAATCATGGGAGACATTATGTGCACGAGTCTGAATGTTTTAATTGTTATTGTGGGAAACACAGGATAGGAGCTGTAGGTAGATTAAATTATAGTAAGTTTTAAGGTGTTGTGAATGAACAGCAATAACCATTTAGAAAGAGCATTTAAATGGCAGTCTGATGGATGGATACGGGACCATAGATGTATCCAGCAGTTACTGACCTTAATGCAGATTTCAGTTACTTACAGCTCAATTCTGGGATCCCCTCTCTCTGGGCAAGTCTGACTTTGGTGCTTTTCAAGAGGCGTGTCAAGACAAGATGATTCTGTATAGCTGGGCATCTTCGTCCTGTGTGCCAGGGGTTTACAGAAGATGGTGACTTGCAGGCTCGCTACATTTGGCAGAATTTCTGAGCAATCCTAGAACCAAAATGAATTTTCAGCTTGGGGCGGGGGAGAAGTCAGCAATCTGCTGATGCAAATGTTGTCTGTCTTCAAAATCAGGTAGGTGGGGCTTGCCACAGCTTTTCAAACCTCCTTTAGCTGGCTACCAGCCTCCACATTTGACAGAAGGTGGAGCTTGTAGCCGCGGACTTGCAGAGCTCTTCCTCTTCGGTACCCTGTCACGCTGGCATGTTGCTCCTGAGTCTTCAGGCCCTGGGCTTTTGGACTTGCCTTCTATTTGAGTAGGGGAGGAATGTGTTTGTTCTGGTGTAGAACAAGGGAAAAATGTGTTGTGAATATGTTTACCTTCATTTCACTGAGGTGCTCTTGCATTTCCAGGCTTTGAACTAAGAAATTTCAATTTGAAAAGAGATGTTGCCATGATGTCAAGGAGGTACTTTCTGCTACTCCTGTGAACACGCACAGGCTTGTGGTTGAATTATACACCTCTGAAAAATCAGATTTGCACTTGCTTCTGAGAGCCTGACAGAATTATTCTTCAAAGGTCCTTTTTGTATCAAAGCTGAAAGAAGATGCCTTGCCTGTGATTTCAGCATTTCTGCTGCAAATTTATCAAAAACTGTTTAAACGCAGAGAAGGAACAACGCTGGGAACAGGGAAAGGACTTGAACAGTAAGAGCAGAGCCAAGAGAAGCAGCGGGTCAGGGAGTAAAAAGGATCCCTTGTTGTCTACAACAGCAGCCCGCCCAACCTTTTTTCAAGGATATGCCGTAAATAAAGCAGCAGTTGGGTCACCTGTCTTGCTGTCCTTGGCAATCTGTTGCCTTTCCTGGCTACTTCATTGCCTAGTGCCAGCCCTGCCTGTCACTACTGGCTTCTCCACTGGCTGGAGTTGGAGAGGCATGTTGTGACCCTGACATGCCCATCGATGACTGCCTGGGGCTTCTCGGCTCGTTAGTAAAGTAACAAAATCATATTGGGTCACATATGTAAGCGGCCAAAATTAGGATGAGTCATTCTAAGGGCTGGAGCATACCATTTTTA